GCATTTCTTACACCCACCTCATATATTCATACAAAACATTATTGAGTGGCTCTTGTGTCAGGTGAACAATTAGCATTTTAAAAAAAAAATGCTGAGGAAGCTGAGAAATTTTTGCCACTAGTTAGTGCTCTAAAAAAAGTAAGTGAACCCCTAAGATAATATTAAAAAATTGACTCCCCCCCCCGATAATCAACAAATCTAATTAAGCTATATATTCATTAAGAAAAACTTATTAAACAAATTATAACCATTTTCAAAGAATTTTGTCAAGCTGGAATAAAGATATTAATTAAAAATTAAAATGTGCAAAAGTGAACCCTTACATTTAATATTTGGTGAGTACTTCTTTCGAGGTCACAACATCAACCAGTCTTTTTCTATAATTTTTAAGAAGATTCAAGCAGTAGTGAGCATCAGTTTTTGACCATTCTTCTTGGTAAAACTCCCACAATTGTTTGATATTACCTGGATTTTTTGCATGTACTGCCTTTTTCAATTATGTTTAGATCAGAACTTTGACTAGACCATTCCAATTTCTTTTTTCAAACCCATTCTTTTGTGGATTTACTTTGATGCCTTGGATCATTATCTTGTTGGAAAATCCAGCCTCAACCTCTTTCAAACTGAGGACAAGACATTTTCATTCAAAATTTCTTGGTATCTTGCAGTGTCTATAGTCTTCTGTCAGTGTAGACTATTTTGACTATTCCAGCTGCAGCAAAGCACCCCCAAATTGTAATGATGTTGCCACCATGTTCAAAAGTTGGCACTAAATTCTTCTCTTCAAAATCCATATTAGGAGATTGTCAGACATACTGCCTATTATTCCTCTCAAAAAGCTCTAGTTTGGTCTCATCCAACCATAAAATATTTTGCCAGAATGTTTCTAGCTTATTAATGAACTTTCTGCCATGAAGACCAGCATTGTTCAGATTTCATCACACTGTAGACATATACACATTGATTCCAACATTAGATGTGGGCCTTGGAGAACTACAGAGTCCAAAGTAGGATTTACCTGGGCTTGTCAAACTAAATGTCTACTTGCTCTTGCAGTTATTTTTTGTGGATGACCACTTCTTGAGTGTGATGACATCATACAAAAAGCATTCCATTTATAAATAATTTGTATCATGGTAGAGACATGCACTGTTAATAAATAGTTTTGATAGCTTTTTGTAGTCTTCTCCATCATTATAGGCTTCAACGACGTGATTTTTAAAGCTTCAGGAAGTTCTTTTGATCTTGGCATATTTTCTTTTTAAATTTAGTCTCTAACTGCACCTTTTTGCATATACAATGGGGTTATGTTGTTTGACTGCCGTATACACAGCTTACCAAAAAAAAAAAAAAGAACGTGCGTAATTTTGATTTTTACATTGGCACAAAAAATTATTTCCACTGGCAACCATGTAAAAGAAAAAAATACAAAGTGTAAATGTCAAGGTTCACTTATTTTTGTACATCTTAATTTTTAATTAATATTTTTATTCCAGCTTGATAAAAATTTTTGAAAGTGGTTGTAATTTATTTAAAAAGGTTTTATTTTAATGAATATATAGATTAAGATTTGTTGATTATCTGAAGAAAAGGGACATTTTTTTTTATTCTTTTAGGGTTCACTTACTTTTGCGCAATGCTGTATATGTAAAAATTGAAATTTAAAGATGGCCTTGTGTCATTCTCTTCTGAGTAGGTTTGTAGATAAACAATATGAAAGAGTGGAAAATTTCTAGAGACAATGATAAGAAATGTTTTAATGTACTGCATGTATATTAAATAAAAAAAAAAAAAAGCAAATGAGTTTCAATTGACATTCAATTGGTCAGCAGTAAGCAGAAATGGAGCAAAGAATTGCTAAATAGAAAATAACTACACACACACACACACAGCCAACGATACAAAAAACACCTATAGTTGTGCTGCTGATTTTTTATGACCATAGAGGCAGATATTTTAAGAGAGGTGCAGAAAGGATAATAATACCTAAGTCCTTGGAAAAGATCATCCATGTTGAAATTACCGAAAGTAACTCATCCTTTTTCTTAAGGATCATAATTGAAGTTCTCATGAGATATTAATCAATCAATTTAATAAAATGCAAATTTCAAAAGAAATCAATTCAGAGAGAAGGATCGCTTTTCTTCAATGTTTGGCTGCAAACAGAGAAAGAGTGTGTACACTGACCATATAGATTTCAATGCCATATTCATTTCTTTATTCAGCTAATGGAAATGGCAAAGATGGGATCATGTATAACACAAGTTGCTGATGATGGAATTATCTGTGAGAATTGCATGATTGGAAATCAGCTGATCAGATTAGGCATTTCTTTTTTGTTTGCTATAAATCTCTTGCTTTAGTGCACACCTGAAGAAGCCTGTAAAATGGACCAGCTTGAGACTTATGGTAAAAACAAAAGCGGTACAAAATCTAGTATAAACAACACTTGGAATGATAAGGACTCTCAAAATTATAAACAGTATCTTATCAAAAAATTGTTTTTGTTAACAACTGACAAGCAAATTTTTCTGATAAATCATCATTAAGTACTGTATGAATTGTGATTTGTTTGGCCAGAAGAAAAAAAACCTTGTCTAATATGAAAATTTTAATGCAGTTCTTAAGAGGTATCTTAAGACATAACCAATTTTTACTGTACAAAGACTAAAGTAAAGAATGAATAAATATACAAAGATTAAAGATTGAGAGGAAAATATTTAATTTCCAGTGAATAATATATATATAATAAATAATTGGTTAGTATAAACTAAAAATTTATCTGTATGTAAAGGGGCGTAACTCTGTTGTTTTTTTTTTTTTTTTTAACTCTCATTCAAATTTGAATGTAACACCTTCTGAACCAAAAGTTTTGTTGATATGTGTAAACCAAGAGAGGAAAAATCAGAATTCATGAATTAATTGACATAATTGGAAAGCCGGTATTAGTCATAGTCAACTTACCAGAAGTTTCTTTTAAAACTGGTTGGTTAGTTGATTTTGTTGAGTGATATGGGTTATTTAATGCCAAAATCTAAATATTCTGTACATAATTTTATGCTTTCAACTACAGATATTTTGTACATAATTTTATACTTTCAGAATAAAGGTATGTTTGTCAGATATGTAGTTTGTAGATCATAAAATGTATTGTTGGTAATTTTACTATAAAAATGTAATTTTATATTTTTTTGTGTTGCCTTGTCATTTTGCTATAAAATGTATTGTTGGTCATTTTATTTTAAAAATGTAATGTTGATTTTTGTTTGGGGTTTCACTATTTGGCCATAGGTAAGAGGTGGTTCCACACTCCTCAAACCTTCCGATTGGAGGCTTTGCTCTTGGATGTAGTTTATCATCATACCCAGGATGATTTTAACTTGATAGAAAGGTGACAAGAAAAACTGTTTTATACACTTTATAAGTTACCTGACAATGACCCTTTTTGGTTACTGTTGATCTAAGATTAAAGTGATGTTTTCTACTTTATCTGTTCATTTCTTCCTCTTCTTCATGCTGACAGACATTAAGCACTTACACTTACAGTAATAATAACCAGTAAGTCTTCTAACAACTGCATTCAAGACAACAACAAAAAAAGTATTAAATTGAATCTGGAAACTCTTTCAGCAGAGTATAGGGGGTTTAAAAAAATTAGAAAATCTAATAAATGAGTAGGGGGTGGGGCAAATGATTAAAAACAAGTCTTTCAAATTATAACAAGACCTTGAAGAAATAAAACTAAAAATAAATATCTGTCAAAGTTTTTAAGTAAAATGCTTTAATAAAATCAAAAATATTTCCATGAAATTGTTCTAATACAAATGCCATTGTTCTAATATAAATAAATGTAATTTTTTTTCTTTAAAAAGTAGTAGATCGGTTTGCCTATCATCTTGTTTACATTCCCTCCTCCTCCTCCCCCCTGGTCTTTTCAACAGGAGTAGAGGTTTATCCTTTGTTTCCGGTTTAGGATTGGGTTTCTGGTTCCTTCTAATGTCTTCACATTTTCTTTCAAACCGTAAGCCCTTAACATCTTAGTGGCATCATGGCATTGTTTGAAGTGAAAAAAAGAAAAGAGTTCAATAAAACTTGACCAAGAAAATTTACAATCATCATTGAAACAGTTTACTATTAATAATTTTACTCTTATTACTTTTTTATTGTAAAACTTTAAACCCAAACTCTTTTTTGACAGTTAAGCGAGTAATCCTAAATAAAGGACAAGACTTAAACTTGCATCCTACAAATTGACAGCCTGTCTTTTATGGACAGTGAAACAATTTTTGATTTTTGCACTATTTACTTTAGTCGTACCTTGAGTTTTGTGCTAAAAAAGAAGAATGCGCAGTTTGTCAATGTAGGAAATGGAATCAGCAAGCCAAGTTCAAATTCAAGTCTAGTCTAGGAAAGGCAGGATTCCATCTCTTCTTTCCACAACTCCAGCTATGGGTAAATAGTAGATTAGGCTAGGTTTCCCTAGCATTGAATGGCAACCAGTCTAAGAGAAAAACTCTGTATTCCAAACCATAGAGATGGCAATGTGAAAAATACTCCACTATCATTCCTAAGGAGACATAGCAATCAAAAAATAAAAGCACTTAATTTGTGGAGATCCATGATCACTTACATCATGAATGAACATGACACGTTAAAGAAAATAAAATAAAAAATATAATAGAAATTATTTATAAGTGTTTCATAAGAGAAAAAAGTGCACTATTTAAATTATTTGGACTATTGTCCTCATCTTTGTCACTATATTTATTACAACGTTTCGGCTGTTGTACGCTCTGGCCTTCTTCAGGTGGCTGGAATGTCGACAAAGATGAGGACAATAGTCCGAATAATGTAAATAGTGTACATAATACCTCATCTCAGAAATATAGACAGAGAAAAAAGTGGTTGGGGCAAATATTTTCCTACTCTACATAGACGGATTCTTCCCACTTCACACAAGAATAATTTTTGAAGATAGATGCATAAGATTAAATACTTACTTGATAAATACCTCTGCAAGATGCTACTGCATAAACTGCAGAGTTTATAACTTCTTTAGAAATCTCATCGGCAAAGTCCCCCAATGTTTTGGGGGTTGGAATGTTTTGAGCAGGTAGTTCTTCCATTAGCGAAATCACAGGGAACTTTCTATGCAAGCACGGACGATTGAATTCAGACAGATTCAATGTCAGGTCTTCATAGAAACTGTCAGATGAATTTTGCAATGTCAATATAGCAATATGGATCACATTTTTAGCAATTTCATCAGCCAGTGTCTCCAGACACTGCCAACAGGTTGACGATTTAAACTGCACATCAGCTGCAGCTGACCCAAAAACGTCCAAGAATGATTCTTGCATAATTTCATCTGCAACATGGTCAGCAAATGTTGAGAGATTGTCTTCACTGTCAAATGAGATGGAGTGGATTTCGCTGAGGTCTTTTGAGGTTGGGTCATCTGATGTGTCTGTTCTGGACATGATGGAACCCTGCCGGTAAAGGTTCTCTCCACTACTACAAGGTTCCAACATGTCTGGCGAGCCAACATGACTACGAAGAAGCTCATCCTCAAAGCTGGCAAGAAGATCATCCTTAAATCCACTGAGGCTGCCACTTCGCCCACTCTCCTTGCGCCAGCTAGTGCGCTCTCTAGCCAGAGACTGTGAATTCAAGTCAGTTTGCATCAGCTCCTCAGCAAACTGGGAGAGTGTTATATCACGGAACCCGCTAGTGCTTCGCTGCAGGGTCCTGTTCTGTTCACTCAGTGAGCTCTGGCGTTCCAGTTCCTGATAAAAATTGGCAAGGTCCTCTTGAGGAACAAATTTTTGGTCAGCAACACCGCAACAATTTCCCGTATCAGTGCTACACAGACTCGGCATGCCTTCCACATTTCGGTAACGTAGCAGTTGTCTGTAATAAGGATTGATCAGGTAATTTTCATGTACTTCAAGGAAAGCGTTTGTAAAAAGTTCTTTTGTAATATCCAAGGCATACTTGTCATATTCTGGGAGATACACACCGTGGACACCATCAGAGGTATAGGCAGTTTTCACACCGTGAGATTCTATGCACCTCATAAATGTGTTAGTTTTGTGCGTCATCTTGAGGCCACAAGTGACAATATCCTCCAAGAGGTCGTTTACCCATCGCATAAATGTAGGGCTACCACTCATCCATTCAGACACAGATGATGTATCACTCCACAATGATTGGCGCCGACTCGAGGACCCCGACGAACAGGCAGATAAATGAATGATGGCTTGAGCCTCCTGGAAGATTTGCCGAACAAGCTTATCGGCCACTGCGACCAGGTCTTGTTCCATGGTGGAAGGAATGGATACTTCACTGTCAGCATCTCCTGAAATAATGCTGGCAGTGTCAAAAATGGAGCTGTGTAGGCCACTTATTTCATTAAGTGCCTCACACACAATCTCGTTAGAAAGATAGTCCGAGTAACTATAGAGGGTATCAGGGATCATTGGCTTACCCACACCAGAATCATGCTCCACCAACATGATACTGCTGTCAGAGAAGTTCTTGAGTGTACTGAGGTTTTCTAGAAATGTACAGTCCTTGCTTTTAACATTTAACTCTTTATCACATTCTAAACAGAGGCTCTCCGAATCTACTAGCGTTGGCGTGACATCCTCAAACAGCCGGTCAACATAATGCTGGACTGCGTCCTCTGAGATGAAAGACACGTTGGCATTGCGGTCAATATTAGGCTCCGGCCCGAACTTGATGGGCATCGGCTTCTGGACGTATGCTGGAAGCTCTATGTTTTGAAAGTTCTGGATGGCCGATGAGCTGTAGGCAATGGCAGCGCTCTCTTGCAACAAGTCATCAATGAAACTGGCAGCAAAGTCCTGCACGCTGTAGACACCATTTTCTTCATGGATTGTGCCAGGACGAGTAGCCAACTCCCGTTTCATAAATGACTCATACAGTTCCTCTAAATCTGAGCTGATGTCCGAGCTGTATCGTGTGCTACAGCTGCTACGGCGAGAGGTCAAGTCACTGAGATTTGAGCTGCGACGTCGAAAGTTGGAGATCCAGTCGTGGTAGTCAACATCCAAGTAATCCATTGGGGTTGGATGTCCAAGGCCTATTGACGACATCCCACTGCCATGCAGGGAGCAGGGTTCACCAGTCAACTTCCCTACACTTTTGTTGTCGTAACGAGGTAGTGTCTCCTCTGAACTGCCACATATGCACTGAGGGTTCAGATCACACAAGGCTTCAGAGATTATCTCCCTTGTTAAACGCTTAGCAAAGCTATCAATATCTTCAACAAACTTCACTTCTTTGCGTTCACCTACAAGTAATAAAAGAAATAGAAAGATTTAATGAATTTCCATTGTGAGTTATCATACAAAATTTTATAGTATAAGTCAAGCAAAACCTAGGAAAAACCTAGGAAAAATCATTATGTAGTGAGAGGTGCATTTTTTGAGTCATTGTACTTTTGAGCAGATTAAGAAACTGAGATGTTATTCCCTATATATTAATAAATACAGATCATCTAGCAAAGCAAACACAGAATCCCAAAACATAATCTCAATTTGTCTCCTAGATTTTTTTTTAATATTAAATTTCAATCAGTCCATGGCTCAACAACCTTGAGGTATTAAGTTACTGTTAATATGATTATGATGAATCGGGAGGATCATGAGGATGAGGAGGATAGATAATGAATTATTACAGACACAAACTTACACCAATTAGAATACAGTTTTTACGGATATTCCAGTTGATATCCTCATCGTTCTTAAACATGAGTGTACAATTAAAGAAAATTGAGAGAGACTTTCTGCATATATATATATATATATATATAACGTCATCCACAGACAGACTGTTTCGCTGTTTCACAGCTCATCAGTGTGGCTAGACATCCGGTTGCCTCTAGCTAGGATTGAAACCCGACTGAATTGGTGTCAGTCGGAGATTCTAACCATTAATGAATGTGATGAAGGTGGATTTTAGCGTATTTGTTTTTAGAAACACGCCCAGTGACCGACAGTGACTCAATTTGCATCTGCGAAGAGTCTCGCTATATATAGCTATAATAGTCACTGTTTACCAACCCACACCTCCTCCTCAGAGAGCTCAAATATTGAACAATAAAAAATATTAAAAAATTAAAATCTTCAGACACACTGGGTTGTATATTAATATTCTTTCATTTTCCTTATTATTTTATTTAGATTCCTCAACTAGTTTCGGCCAACATGGCCATCATCAGGAGAAAAAAATTTCTGCTTGTTGGTAGCAGTGAACTACAGAAATGAATGTCTTGATGAAGAAAATGAACTTTTGTGTGTAGTTTTCATTTGTTTTTTTTTATTTTAATTTAGATTGCACTTAAACATGAAACAGACTGCTGCCACTAAGTGTTGACCAAAATGTCCACTTTTACATTTACATATGCTCTATCCTTGATAGTGAGCACTTAAACCCATAAATATAGCATACCTTAAAACTATATTTGTATCATACATATATGATCAACAAGTCTGTTTTGTCTGTGAATTTTGATGTGATGATATGAAATGTTCAGTGCATAATGGTTAATACTTGCCGTTGAATTAGAGGAAATGAAAAATAAAAGTTTGTGCATAAAATAAATGCTTTTTTCCATCATTAAGCTGAAGACACACATTTTTATATATATATATATATATATATATATATATATATATATATATATATATATATATATAGTGTATTTAGGTAGCAATCCTTCTTTCATGCAAGCTTCGTTAAATATGACAGACAAGGTACTTTAAGATTTTTTATATAATTTCTTATATGATCTTATTTTTTTTTTCAGTAAATAAATCATACAAAAACTGCCCAAGTGTTATATTTTTCTGAGCACTTTTGACTATACATTTAGCCATTTTCAAGTATGAAATGTTAACTGGAAATATATATATATATATATATATATATCATAAAAAAGTTCAAAATATTACCATTTCTTCCACTTTGTGCACATGTGTAGTTACAGCAACTAAAACATCATTTTAAAGTAATATATAAAACTTACAATAAAACATTACATCATATCACCATTTTTCTACAGATCCATTATTCATGAATCTAATTTATGACTAAAATAATGAGGATTTTATAAATTTCCCTTTTTCAAAAACACATGTTAAATCTAACCAAAACTAGATTATTACATTATTTTACTTCCCTTCACCAACCCACACAGAGTTGATGACCAAAGACTCCACCCACACACGAAAATATAAAAATCCAACCAAATACAAAATTATTTTGCAACATATCTTTCACTGACAAAAATACAAAGGTGACATCTGTAGACTTCTCCCACGTACACACTTATACACTTACATAAATTAATATTACCCTCCTACATACACCTACACACACAAGTGTTCCTCTTTTCTTACACACTCTTATACTATCACAACAAAAAAAATATGATCTGCATTCCTCAAAGCCTTGTGCTTTTAAATCTTGTAATCACTAAACCCGATGCGATTGAATTTCTAGCGTTTTCATAAAATTAGTTGGGGGGGGGTGGATAAATATAAAAAAAAATATTTCTGCCATGACTTTAATAAAAAAAAAAAAACATATTTATAATAATTTCAATCATCTGTGAATAGTTCCTGAAAGTTTCATTAACATCCGACAATTATTTTTATTTTTGCAGGATTTTCCAAATTAATGTGTCATACCAAAAAAACGTGCTAAAAATTGTCTTATTTTACTAGTTCCGGTGATACAAAGAGAAACAAGGTTTTTTTTTAATTAAAATTTAGAATGTTCTAAAAAGAAGGAAAAATTTTTTAAAAATAATTAAAAAAAACTTTGGTTTTTCCTCTTAATAATAACATAAGCATTTAGACAATAAAATTTTGTTTTCGGCAACGTTGGCGTCTTTTTCATCAAGCTATGCTCTGTTTTTAGCGATTTCGTGGAGGTATCTATTTTAACCTCTATTTTTTTCTTTGAATTTCTTAAGCCAAATATAGAAGTGAACTACTACAAACCCAAATTGAAATCCAAAAAAGACAAGATTTGAGACAAGCCTCCAATTCTCAGTGAGAGATGTACTATTGACTTTGCCTTCAGTAAAGCACATCATGCTACAACAGTAAACAGCTTCATTTTTAGTCCAAAGTCTATCATAGTAGTTTGAAAAATAAGAGAGAAAGCAAGTGTTACCAAACTGTACTCTTAACTTGCCTCACACTGATCAGAAAGCATTCTTAATAATTCATTCAGCCAGTTATGTGCCATACATGATACATGCTTAGGCGATCATGTATCTTTTGATACATGACTGACGATATTCAGTCCCCCCCCCCACGAGGGTGTCATGTGGCACAAGGCCTTTTTAATGTGGGCATTCCGAGCCCGTGGGCTCGGCCAAAAATATGCCCATTGAACCCATATAAACGGGTTCAGGGCCGGTTTTACCTCCCTGAAAGAGACTCCGCCCTTCAGCGTAGCCTCCTTCGGGTTCCTCCCGTCCGTAGGAAGAGAGTTTAACTGAACAGTTGATACATGACTGACGAGACAGATTTTTTTCCTGCAGTAGGTTGCCATTTCTTTCTGCAGTAGACCAGTTGCCAATCAAGGCTATAGAAGCTGATCTGTCCTGCTACTTACCCATAGCTGGGGAGAGAAGAAAAGGATTCATACATTTCCCAAGGATATTAGCACATAAGTGAATCTAATGGATTTGACTAATTCATTATCTGTGTCTTAAACCTGCCAGAGACAAGAATGTTTTACATAACAGAGAAAAATAAATACCTTCCACATCAGTACTTTCTGTAGTGGTAGAACCGGCAATGACATTAGCAGTAGCTGACTGATCGACACTGCTTGTAAGAGTGGCATTAACAGAAGCTGACTGATCAACACTGCTTGCAAGAGTGGCATTAGCAGTATTTATGTTGTTGGCCAATATTGTAGCAGTTGAAGTGGTGGCGGTGACAGTAGTGGAATTGTCTTCTGTGTCAGCAGTGCTCAATTGTTGGCCAGAAATAGCAGCAGCAGCAGCAACAGGCACCAAGGTCTGAGTGGAAGAAGATGAAGGGTCAGTTGAGCAGCAGTAGTCATCAGGGGAGGGAACTTTTGAATCTGGTAGGGCAGCTTGAAAGCCTACAAGATTTTTGTTAAGGTCTCGCAACAAAAAACGGTCAAGATACTGCCGATGCTGGTTGCTAAATTTGTAGGGAAGCATATTCACTGCACTAAGCATGGTCTCCAGTCTTCCATGAGTATCATGCTGAAAATATAAAATAGAACAGGTGAGAATAAGTGACATTATAAAGACAATATCCATTTTATTTTTTTTTATTTTATTTTTTGAGTCATGATGTGGTTGTAGGTAACATAGTAGAAATTTGTCTTTGTGTCTGCATTTAGAAATGAATTCTGTTCTTTTGTTTAGGAGTTTATCTTTTTCTAGAAAAGTGGTTATTACTCATCTTGGCAAAGGTTACATGTTTTGAGGTATTGTTGTAAGTGGGTGCTGTTTTTATTTTTCATATTTTTTTATTGATTGATTGATTTTCTACAGCTTTGGAGGTTATTTAAAACCAGAAAATATTTTAAGATTGTAGGAATTTTTTTGAGATAATAAATATTTAGTGATACAAGTCTTACTATTTAACCCATACTTAGTGAATAAGAGGTTGATTCTCAAGGGTATTTTCATGTAAATGAATATAACAAACCTAAATGGAATTGAAACTTGGCTTTCCAATTAACTCTGAGCCATTATCCATTACACCATCCACACATCGAATCTTACAGCACTTGGTATTCCTAAGTGGTTACTCATCTAGGTATTGACCAGGTTCGACATTGGTTCCTGTATGATCACCAAAGTTAAGCAGAGTTTCAACACTATATGACCGTAAGCCTTATGTTATTTTTAGTAGGTTTTGCTTTGTTGAGTTATTTCTTTTTTTATAGTAATGTTCCCCTAATACAAGGCCCAAGAGCCAGTCAATGTAGAAGGTTACTGTGTGGTGTTGTATGAATGTAAAAAAAGGCAAGTGAAGTTCATGGAGTTATGCAGGAAAAATAATGGCTAACTCTAGACTTGAAGCGATCAAAATTGTAGTGATTGGGAAAATGTCTTGGTAGATATCTGTTCCACAAAGCAGCAGTTCTTAGGAAGAAGTTGTCCAAATGAAACTTAGTTCTTACTATTGGAATACAAAGGGAATAGGGATGATTCACACTTGTGTATGTAGCACAGTGGGTCCTAGTTGTAAGGTCAGGGAGTGGTGTGACTAAAGAATGTAGATCATTAGAACACATGCCATGGGAATAGCAATAGAGCAGTGAGATGCTTGCAATGTTTTGTGTGTGGGAAAAGGGGTTTGTAGGGTGAAAAATAATTCATCACCCACAAGGCTGAGTAGATGCTTTTGAACTCTCTCCAAATAGGCAAGTGAAGTCTGAGCAGCTCCAGCCCAGATAAGGGTACTATGCTCCATTTGTGGTTTGATCTGGCTCTTGTAAAGATAGAATATAGCAGGAGGAGTCAGATACTTACTGGAGTGGTACAATGAACGGACCATTTTTCCAGCATCTTTAGTAATAGAATGGATATATGAGTTTCACTCAAGAGAGATTGAATTCCAATAGATGTTCAAAGCAAAGAGCACTTTGAGAGAAGACCCATCCATTATGATGGGTGAAAGTTCAGGGTCTGCTTGGTGGTGGTTCAATGTTACTAGTTTGGTTTGGGCCATATCGAATATTACAAGCCTGTCCTTTCCCCATTGTGCCACCCAGGATGGGTCAGAAGAGAGATGAACTGTTAGGTTCTTGTTTTCTAAATCTTTGGAGACACCTATAAACTGTTCTATCATCTGCATAAATACACACTAATGATTGGAGTTCCCAAACTTTTTCTTCTCCTGGGTCACATTTTTGGAATGAAAATTTGCTTGCACCTCAAATTTTATGTGATAAAAAGTACATTTAAAAATAAAAAACAGACAGAGGGTCAAAGAGAGATAACTGCAGATTCAAGATTATCATTGGTAACTCTCTCCTCCAATTTTCAGACCCTAGTTACTATATCTTAATACTTGATATAATGCAAAAATATCACAATTATAAAATCAGTCAATTATTTATAACTATTTATACTGGGACTCATGCATACAATTACAAGTAATCCATAATAATATTTAAAATTTTTAAATCATATTTACTTTTGGCATATGAATTTTTTAAAACCGTTTCTAAATCTTAATCGTGTCTTTCAAATAATTCCACTTCACCTGCCATCCTCTTCCACCATGCACCATATGGGAACCACTATAGACTATGTTCTGAATGCAAATTTGTATAAAGCAGCCACTTTATAAAGCAAAGTAATATTTTCTAATTGTTAACAAGTAAAGGAATTTGAATTTTTAAAATCTCTTATTTTCCTTGAAGTGAATTAACAATGTTGATATTCAAACTTTTTGTGCATTGAATCTATTGTAAGTATGCTATACTATTTTCATTAATAATTTGTTATAAATAAAACAGTCAGTACTTTATATTAGTTATTGTAAAAGGTGAGAAATGGTTTACTTTTCCAGTTTGATGGAAGGAGGAAAGAAGGGAGGAAACGAAAGAGGAAGAAAGTTACTTACTTCAGCTTTATCACAGTAATCTCCAGCAAACCTAAGAGAGTCAGCGTAGCCAGAAAATTCAGAAAACTTTTCATATCCACTGACAGTAATTGCCTCATTGTCATCCATTGCTTCCATAAATAACATGGAAGCAATCAATTCAGGACAAGTCATGAAGAGAATTTCTTCCTAAATAAAGGAGAAAAAAATAGACATTAGCTACATAATAAAAAACCTTCTGGGAGAAGATGATATATAAATTTTTATATACCACAACAATGTTAGGAAAATTAATGACAAAACTGAAAAGCATTTTTTTGTGTGGCACATTTTGTCCTTTAGGAATTCCTCAGACTAAAGTGATTTTTCTGTCAATGTAACTACACATGCTGCACATTAACTGGGGGGACATAAAAATGTAAAGATTGGTTATAATTGTGCACAGATAGGAAACACTAAAAATGTTGGGACACCAAAATTTTAATCTTTTAAATTTATATATATATATATATATATATATATATATTTTGATTGATTGAGCCACAAAGGAGCATTTCAGTTAGCAAGGTCAATTTTACTGTTTTGTTACAGGCTATATGATGGTTTTATATATATATATATATATATATATATATATATATATATATATATATATATATATATATATAGAGAGAGAGAGAGATAGAGATACATTTAAGAATTATCAACAACAATTGCAGGAATTGACAATGCTTACAGGTGAAGTGTGTAACTCAACAATTCAACTGGTGATAGCAGGTAGGCACAAAGAAAACCGGGTCGCACGTCCAACCTTCTCACGAGCCGAAAGCCTTTCATTTGAAACAGCAGAAACGAGCCTGCTTTATACAGCTGCGGACCGACCCACGATTTGCATGCGAATCACGAGGGCAACGAGATTTCACGTTAACTGACCGAGACTACTCGCATAAAACGCGGGCGCCGCCATTTTGGTTTTTTTTTACAGTTGGAAGGACCAGTGTTTACATACCGCGCAGATTCGAACGCGTTTCCGAGGTAGGCCATTTTCACAATTTTCCCCACACTTCCTGATCTCATGATCACAAACAGGGCAGGGAGGTGGCGATCGTCGCCGTCGAGTCCCTCTCCGAAGGGGGATAACACAAGCTTCATCCTCGTGCGTGTTCTCGCCTCTGTGGTTTGAGTGTCGGTAAACACTGTGTCCGCCGGAGGCTGCTGTTATCAGAATCGCTGCCCTGCAAGTCTAACTCAAGGCAGATTGAACGCTCACTACTCCCAGACTCGAATCGCTTTCATCGCCGGTAGCGGTAGTGATTGCGTCACCGGTCGCAAGTCTTTAATGTGACGAGGCACCCCATCAACTCTCACAGATTGCGGGCTGATAACCTCCGTAACACGTCCAGTGCCGTGCTTTTGTCGTGACACTTGCCGCGTGGGTTTTTGACCCAAACGATGTCTCCCTTTTTCAATCTCCCTCCAGTCACTTCTAGTTCAGGCAGCGGGTTGGCTTCGATGCCCCTCACGCGGACATGATATTTGTGCAGTGCATCAGCCGGCGCCGTGGATGGTGAAATGTTATCCTTTATTTTGGACACCCTGCAAACACGTTCGGCCTTTTCAAACCATTCAACGATAGTCGGGCCCGTGGGGGAGCCGTCGAATTCTGGGATCAACTTTAGATCGAACTTGTCCATTGCCGAAATAGCTTGAAGTGTGTAACTCAACAATTCAACTGGTGATAGCAGGTAGGCACAAAGAAAACCGGGTCGCACGTCCAACCTTCTCACGAGCCGAAAGCCTTTCATTTGAAACAGCAGAAACGAGCCTGCTTTATACAGCTGCGGACCGACCACGATTTGCATGCGAATCACGAGGCAAATTAGATTTCACGTTAACTGACCGAGACTACTCGGCATAAAACGCGGCGCCGCCATTTTGGTTTTTTTTACAGTTGGAAGGACCAGTGTTTACATACTGCGCAGATTCGAACGCGTTTCCGAGGTAGGCCATTTTCACAATTTTCCCCACAACAGGATACAATGTTTGAGTATAAAAAAAAACAAAAAACATTTGCAGTTTAAGACTAAACATTTTCAAAGAGTTACTTCCCTTTGAATAATTCTCCAATCAAGCAGATTAGATTCAACGAAAAAGGGTTTAATTAAATTTTAAAATGGTTTATTATGAGTTATTTTACTAATGTACATAACTGTTTCATAGAATTTAGTTAAATACATCCTTATTTTCATTAAATTAGTTTTGCAGCAAAATAAAGCAAATACATTTATTATTTCTCTAATACAATTTCTAAACTTATCTATTAGTAAAAAATAAAATAAGCTTTTTTTCATCAAAAAAAAAAAAAAAAAAAAAAAAAAAAAAGAGGTCCATGGGTAAAAATAGATGAGAACTATTGAATTAAATATTTTAATAAGAAGAGCTTATTACTGCAACCCAAACCATTAAATTTTGTTAATATTCAGCAATTTTTAGAGTTGAAATTGTAGGTTTTTTTGTCTTTGTTTTACTTTTTCTTAGGAAACTAATCAAATAACAAGATTGAAATATTGATAGATCAAAAATGTAACCTGCAATAGAAATTCTTCTGTAAATTATCAACATTTTAGTCAGTTTTATGATAATGAAGATTATTTTTTATTCACAAGTCAATCATGAATACACTTACCTGACACCTGCCTTTTCCTAAAACATGGCCTCCAAGAAATCTATTTGAAAAGCCAACCTGCAATGAAGGTTTTTGTTTGTTAAGAAAAAAAGTAAATTACTTTGAAATTGTAAAGACTTATTTTTCTAAGGATGAGACGTTTATGGAACTACTGATACTTCAAGGCTGGATTTATTAAACAAATCCATCAAAACTTTCATTCACTCTAATGATCACATATATATTGTCTCAGCAAATACTAAAGGCATAAAAGAGAGTGATGAAAAGTTCTCCACCCAGCCCACTTCCCAAACATCAAAATTTCTTTATGGAGGGACATTTTGGTTGAGTATAAAAAGTAAGAAGATACCAACATTCCTATAGTAAGTTTACCATGTTAACAATTATAGCAAATATAAATTCAAAAAAAACAAAAAATCGATCATTTAAACTATAATTTTACTAGAAAACTTATGCAAAATATGTGCCAAGAGAGGATAATGGTTACATTTTGTCCCCCAACTGACAGCATGAAGGTCATGTCTTTGCACCAAGACAGTCATGTTGTCAGTTTGGGGACACGCACACACAAAATATAACCTTAAATTCCCAAAGTTATTAATCACTGAAAAATTACTATAGTAATACTAATGCAAAAAAAAGAAGACTGATATTAAATCAGTGAATTTTGCAATGACTGAAAATGTGTTTGACCAAGTTTCAGTATTCAATATGTTGTGCATTCAAAATCAGGAATTGTCTGTGGTCAAGAATCAATACAAGCATCTACTGACAAAATACCTGTACAATTTATATAAAAATTTTAAATGAATTAAAAAAACAAAACATTTGTGATGATTAAGCTATTAGGAACAAAGAATTCAAGATCAAAGTTCTTTCAGAGGATATGCTCCCCAGCAATTACTGATATACATAAAAATTAGAGATGACTTTTAAAGAAAAACATGAAATTCAATATAAGATATAAACTTACATGATGGAATAAAATACAATCCTAAAGATAATGATGGCAGTGTGTGCATAATATATATGGTGGCAGTAATTTTCTTATAAAATTATGTCATTGGATGCTTTGTGTTCACTTTCCAATAATACCCTTTGTAAGAATGAACCCATTCTTTTTCTTCTTCTAGGGCAAACTGGGCTCATTAGCCTCTGGTTGTATCCACTGGAATGACAACACTGAATTCAAAGCCATTGAGAAGGCAATAGAAAAGCATATTACCTCCTTTTTCAAGAATAATCATAGCAATACACAGATATTAAAATAAAAGGAAGCTGTGAAGAGCTATGACCATCTATGTCTCAAAATAGTAAGTATGAGGAGTAGGAGGAGAAGGAGAAATGAAAAGAGATACACAAGAATTGCTAAGAGATATTCAAATATGAAAGCAAACAAAAACAAAGAATGAGTGAAAAGAAAATTTTAACTCACTTTTAGAGTCTTATTGCTAGCATCATAGGTTTTGCCATTTTCACGGACATAAATTGGACAGAGGTCAGTGATGCAGTTGTGCCAATTATCAAGTGTAGGTCGTTTGCCAGGATCCATCACCTGTTGAATAAAAAAAAAAAAGATAGTCAAAAGGGACTTCTCTAAATTCAGGTACTTATTTACTTATTATTTTTCTAAATTAAATTTACAAAATGGAGATACATTTTATGCATGAAAAGTTTGAAGAAAAAGTTATTTAATTTTAAAATCCTTTCCTGACTTATGGAAAACCCTGAATAATGTATTTTTACATTATACAGAAAACAAAAGTAAAATTTTCTGCACTAATTTCTATTTCTTTTTAGCAATGCATAAAATATATTTTGGCAGAGAATATCCAATAACAAAAAGGGGTCTTAAAACAGAAATGATCATTGTTCACTTAATTCTTCACATCAGATTCTGGAAAAGATAATTGAATGTACCATGACAATATTCACTGCAAGATTGATTGCTCTTTTTCATAAATTAAATCTTGATAAGAAATGATGAAATTGAAAAAAATTGAAAGTATAAAGAATCAAATATCTCACTTCAGGTAAAGAATTGTCATTTTGTTTACTTTTTCTTAACTTGTGCTATTTAGAGGTTCATAATAAAAAATAAAAAAAAACAATGATAGAATTGTGGACCGTTTTGATTACTCTAAAATAATTAATCAAATTTGAGAGAAATAATAATTAATCAAATTTGAGAGAAATAATAATTAATCAAATTTGAGAGAAATAATAATTAATCAAATTTGAGAGAAATAAAATGATTTTAATTTTAAAGCATTTAAGTTGAATCAAGAGCAAATGGTGACATTTATTAGTAAAAAATTTAAATAATCAAAGGTTTTGTATTTTTTCACTAACCTGGAAAAAAAAAATCAAGAAAAAAACAGAAAAAAAATTTCAAGAAAATAATTTAGGTTCAGAATTTTTTTTTTCCAAATTTTTAAGTATAACAGTTTAATTTGTATATGAAAAGAAAAAACAAAACAAAGCTCCAGTCATAGCATTTCTTTATCATCATAAGGTGTTTTTCTTTAAATATTAAAAATCACATTTATCTCTAGATAAATGATAATCATAAAGTTTTACTTCCAGAGACTAAGATGATTGAACCAATAATTCTAAAGCAAGAATTTCCAATTTATCTTACAATATGTAGTTGTACATTATTTTAAAAGCAGCCAGTCCCTTTGCAGTTGACTAGCACTGAATGCTTTCAGATCAACATATTTTCAATTCTGTAATTGCATGTCTTTAAGTGTGTGTGTTGCCATCGTCAAGGATTACTCGTCTGTTCTTTTTCAGTAGATCTTCAAATAACTCATTTCTCATCTAAAACCACCCGTACTGCTTTTGAACAGTACAATCATTAACTTCACCTATCTCAAACACTGTATTCTACAGACTGTTTCTGCTGATTTTATTCAAAATTTCAATTTGTAGAACAGACAAGTTCAGTTTTTAGTTAACAGATTGATTGCACTTATTACTATTGTAGGTATACTCTTCTGAAAAATTTTTTTTTTTAATTTGGAATCATCACCAGCAAGACAGTAATGCCACTAAAACAAGAATTTACAGGGTGTTGAAGAATTAGGAACAGAACATTAATGATGATCAGAAAGAGAAGAGAGTAATTAGGAGGACAGTAGACATCAACTGACATTGCATTTAAATTTTTGTAGATCAAAGCTGGCTGGAAATCAAGTGAGAAGTGCAAGAGAAGAAACAACATAGAACTTACAGGTACATCTAGCCAGCTAAACTGTAAATTGATGAGATGTCATTGCCAGTCTAATGCTGCACTTAAAATCAAAAAATCTAGGTACCATAGCGAAGAGCTCATTTGAACAATTACCATGAAAGTTTTCATAGAAAAGACAGAGAGGCAATCTTACAGTGGTGGGAAAGTGATTAGAGCTGATCTGACAGATCAGGACCAATAATATTGTAGATTCTTCTTTGGATCTTATCAAGGAGCTCAAGGTAAATAGCAGGGGCACGGGACTAAATATGGCAGCAATATTCTAAGCATAGACAAAGGTTACATGATAAATGTAGGTTTCATATTGAAAATAACAGACTGTTGCTACTTGAAGAGTTTGTTTTTAAGTTAATAAAAACTCTGAAAACCATGCACACATTTTTTGTTATTTACACAAATGTAATAGAAAATTATAAAATATTCTAAATCAATGTATCCATAGCAAATGCTCTAAAAAAAAAAAAAAAAAAAAAAAAAAAAAGTGTTATACTTTGCATGTTAATGGGTTCCAATAAACTGAATGTTGGAAAGACAAGATAATCATACTTATTATAAAACCCAGATTGTGTGTGTGTGTGTGTGTGTGTGTGTGTGTGTGTGTGTGTGTGTGTGTGTGTGTGTGTGTCTGTACGTTTATATATTGGATCGCATTTCCTACATTTTTCAACCGATTTCAACAAAACTTCACTTTCTTTTTGGCAGGTAGTGTTTCTTATTTTCTTGCACACTTTTTTCTTTATTTTTACATTCAGAATGCTTTAAAAATTCCATTTACAAGACAATTGTTTATAATAAAATTCTATTCAATCAGTAGACTCATAACGATTGAAAACAATGTTTTTGTTTGAGTTTGACCAATTCTTATAAAAAAAACTAATTAAGACATGCGTGTCCATCAACCTTAAACAATAATCTTCTTTGTCAATTTTATTTTTCAGTGTTTATGATGGTCGATACTTGATCTATCTCTTACTGTTACATCCCTGGGCAACGCCAGGCTCTACTGCTAGTATAAAATACAATGCCAAATTGATCCATCCATGACTTCTTAAAGAGTCATCTGTACATTGCTTTTATTTACTAATGTCAAACTTGAATCTGTGATTATGTCATTAATAACTACATATTACTGATAATATCCTTTTTCTCAATTTATAGCAAGCAGTTAGTTATCAATGACATAAACACAGTTTCAAACTTGACGTTGGATTGATTTGACACTGTATTTATATTATGAAAAGGAACCCCCTTATAAAATAAGAAATTTATATTTTTCGATTCTGGCAAATGTTGGAGTTCAAGGTAAGCTCTAATGAATGTTAACCTACAAAAATTATTTCTCCCCACTTTTTTTTTTTTTTTTAATACAAATGGACCAATCAATTTAAGCAGAGTTGAAACTGATTATTTCTTTGATGTTGAAGAAAATTTTAAAAGAGAAGACACACAGATGGCTTTACCTGTCTCTGGAACTGTATGTGGCCATCAAGCTGTTGTCCCACAGAGGCGACTTTATTAAAGTATTGCAGGATACAGCGGAGTTTAGCACATTGGGAGGGCCTGAATAATAAAAATGACTTGACAGAATAAATCAAAAATTAATATAAACAACAACAACACACACACTGACATTGGAAACAAGTTTTTAAAAATGTGATCAAATGAATTATGCTAAAATTTTCATCATTAAAAAATATATTCATTCTACTTAAGCAATAAATGGCATTCTAAAGAAAAAGAATGTCTGTGCTAAAAAGAGGGAATAATATTTTTATGAAGATAAATTTTAAATTCTAATCAGGTTTTTCATGAATATGCAGAAGTAGCACTAAAGTCTTGTTTTTTGCAATTAGAAGTTTTTTCTTTCTTTAATAGTGCTCTACATGCAGTTCTATTCATACGAAATATCTCATTTAATGACTTAAAATCTAGAATTCTAAATATTACATTATATCTAACAGATTAGTATTATGGAGGAAATTAGGAGCATTGTGTCACCAACAATAAAGTTTTTAAATATGCCAATCAAAGCTACTATCAAACCTCAATTCTGATAGACTGAATATGTTTAATAAAGAAATAAAAAAAAAAGAAAAAAAAAACCTTCCAAAGCAAAATCCTGTATTCAGAAGGAACAAGAACAGGAATTTAACATTCAACCATCCAATTGTAAAATGTTTGGCCAACAAGGGGAAGAATTTCAAGATTTCAAGCTATGCCAATGCATATGACTGGGATGATTTTTAGCAAACAGTTGGTTGTTTGGTTGGGGGGGTGTTCTTTCTAAGCCACTCATTATGAAAATCAAATTTGTTATGTGAATTGAAAATGTTACCTTAAATAAATTCCTCCTTAATATACTCTGCTAAAATCTTATAACTGTGACTTTCAACATATTCACATTTGCTTAAAAGAGAAGTAGAGAATGGGACTGGCCAAAAAATAAGCAGCTATTTCCTTTTGTGCTCATTTTGAACTTATATAAGACAATGGGAAAATTTATCTTAGTTGACACGTTTGAGGGATTTTATCAAGGCAAATGTAAGGATTTTCATCAGGTTAGCTCATGAATATTCATCAGCTTTATTAGGCATTGAACTGTATCACCTCATGTCCATGAACTTGCCTGATTTTTCCATTAACATGATTAATATTCATGAGTACTCCTATACCAAAAATTTTGAAAAAAAACCAATAACATTTTTGCTCTTGTATGTAAATACTTGTCACATTTGCCTTGCTAAAGTCCATCAGGAGATGAAACGTGTCAGCTAAGATAAACATTCTTTTTGTCTTTATTCATATCATCCTTTTACTAATACAATCTATCTGAAATTTTTATATATATATATATATATATATATATATATATATATAGATACACCTAGTGAGCCAGACAAACCTACCTAGGTTTCACCTAAACGGATCGTCAGGGAAAGTTTTGTCGGCAGAAGTTCATGTTTGTAGCTCTTTCTTTTTTTAAAACCTTTTTTTCCCCTCGAGATTGATTTGATTAGCAAATCAAAAATTCGAGGGTTTTTCGAAACGAGTCTAGTTACCTATATTTATATATATATAAGACTCTCCCAACGGATTATATTCTCTAGGTCACTGGTGTGTTTATGAAAAAATAAACATGCAAAAATTCACCTTTCTCTCTGCCGAGTGCTGACAGCCTAGGGATTAGGATCTATGACTGATGCCAAATCCATTGGGTTTCAGCCCTGGCTTGAAGTGATCGGATACCTAGCCACACTGATGAGTTGTGATACAGTGAAACAGTTTGTGGATGATGACATACATATATATATATATGTGTGTATATATATATATATATATATATATATATATATAAGCAATCATCAAAGTAGCCTTCTTTATTCTTTTAAAGAAATCTAGCATATGTGAGTATAAAAGATATTAAGAAGATTGCAGCAATTAGAGAAATATTGTTTTTTGTTCTTTTAAAATGGATTTTACTCACAGTGGAAGGAACTGGAAGAAGTTAGTGAAATTGATGTTGTTCAATCGTGACGTTTTGTCTTTTTTTCGTTCAGGAAATAAGCACAAAAATGCACAAGAAATGATGGATGATATCAAGTTTCGACTGAGCACCACATTGTTGGCTGAAAGAAGAAAAAGAAAAAAAAAAAAAAAGAGTATTTTAAAAATGCTTTATTGTACATATAAAACAGTTACAAAAATATAAAGGAGATAATCATATCTTGATTAAACAAAAGCATTAACATTAATGAAGCTATACATTTGAAAAAAAAAAAAACCAAATAGTCACAGGTTATACCAATTTAAATTGGTGCAATATGAACAATAACTAGAATTAATTTTAGATGCAAATTATGAATTCTTCAATCAGAAAATTATACAAGATCATAAAATAAGTGACAATTTCAAGATTTTATCTCTACATTTTTATCTTATTTGTACTTCATTTATTGAGTATCTTAAAATTTTAATGCTTTGTTTTATCAAGTTTGAAAATCTAGCAAATCCTTTATTTTCATTAGTTTCCAATAATGGCTAAGCACATCAGAAAGACTTAATATAAATTGACTCTCGGACGTTAAGATGAATATTAGAGTGAGGCCTTGGTTATAGGACCGGACATATTGATAGTTATTTAATTCTCAGCTATCACTGATCCAGATGAATTAACTCATCTTGCCTTTCCTAATATTAGCTGCTATATGCTGATTAATCCTTGCTTCCAACTTCTGATCTGTTCTACCGATTTAGATTTTTGTCACTGTACACATTTCTTGTCTTTGATGAGAAAGGAGTGACAAACTGATTAAAGTTTTTTTTTTCTTTCTTTTTTTTTTTGTTAATTTACTTTTTGCCATTCTTTCCTGTTGTTTTAATCTGTTCATTTTAATGTATCTCTGAAAGTTTTCAACCTGAAACCTTTTTGTACTGTGTTTCATAATATATAAAACCAATGCCAATTCCCATTTGCAGAATTATGGAGTTAGGTTATGTACAAATAATAATAATCAACAACATTTGGTAAACATTAACTGACCAGCCAGATGTTTCAATTTTGCATAGAATCACATGCGATTTTTTTTTTTTTTTTAAAGTTGGGGAAAAATAAAAAGTGCCAGGTTTAAATGACAACAAAAATAAAACAAAGAATAAATAAAATTTTTTTAAAAAAATTAAAATGAAAAAAAATTAAAGTGAAAAAAAATTAAAGTGAAAAAAAATTAAAGTGAAAAAAAATTAAAGTGAAAAAAAATTAAAGTGAAAAAAAATTAAAGTGAAAAAAAATTAAAAATTAAAAAAAAAAAAAGAAAATGGTCAAACTATATGAAAGAATGAATGGTTATTGTATAGTACTATGATAATATCCTTTTTACTTACTACACTGCTTCTTGCAGAGGGGAATCCCTTCATGAGGCAGCAGCTTATCAATGGCACAGGCCATGTCCACAATGGCCGGAAAGATGAAGTGTAAGAAACATTCTTTTTCGTCTGCACTGGCAACCTGTTCAAGAAAGAGCACAAGGCCCTGATACACACATTGTTGGCCATCTGTGTTTTCTTTATTTTGGTCTCCAGGGCAGCCCCTGCCGCATGGGGGGGAGGCTCCTCCCCCAGAGAAGGAGGAAACAGACACACTCTTGCACTTGTTCTGCAGGTACACTTGATGATGGAGTTGAGCCAAACCCTGGGGTGTGGCTCCTGAGCCATGGCAGTAGAGCTGGAGTTGGAGTAATTGCTGACTTACAATGTTCCAGTGGGGAAGGTCACATGGGAAGAGGACCTTCCTCACACCCATGCTATCCTGAAAATAAAAAAAGAAAAATAATTAGCAATAAGTGAGTAAATCTCTTTTAAGACTTGGTTTATAACTCTTAGCCTCCAACAAAACACACTACTTCTCTTCTTAGTGCCTTAATCAAGTGAAAGCACAGAACTAGTGTTAATCCAAATTGGATAACATTCAGTTTAAAAATAGATACCTTTTAGCTGTACACAGCTTTTTTGTTTTTTCTTTCAATAAAAATATTTATAAGATTAAGCAGGCAGTAGGAGAGATTCTTTACAAGAAGATGTGCGTTAAATATCTATAAAAATAAAAGTAACCCGAGCATTTGCTATAATTCATTGTATAAAAGTAAAATGAGTGTAATAAAATAAATGATTGTTTCTTTTGGGAAAATAAAATTCACATGAATTACAAGGCACAATAGCTTCATTCTTAGTGCCTGAAAACAAATATCTATAGTGATTTTCCAAGTGTAGCTTAGATGTGGCACAAGGCCAAAAGTATGGGGCACCCAGTGAGGATCGAACTCACTACTCAGTCATAATTGTTCTAGTGAGACAAGTTTGCTAACCATTACACCACCTCAAGGTGCCCTAGTCTCTGAAAACAAATATCTATATAGAAAACACAAAGTATGTCCATATGTATCGATTTATTGATCGATTCATTTGCTTTTTACAGCTTAAACTTTTGCAGGTTATTTAAAGCCAGAAAATATTTTTAGATTGTAAGAATTTTGGGGGCAAATAATAATGATTTAGTGATACAAGTCTAACTAATTAACCCATAGCTGAGAGGGTAGAAAGAGGTGGATTCATACCTTTCCCAAGGGTATTTACTCATAAAGGAATAACAAACCTGACTAGAATTGGTGAACATAATCACACACACTTTCTTCCTTAGGTGCCAAGCAAGATGCACACTTGCACTTGGGTGATCACACCTCTTTGATTCATGATTGACTTGGCAGAAGAATTCCCGCAGTAGGTTGCTGTTACTTTCTGCAGTCAATTAGTTGGTAACCACCACTATGGGGGTGAGTCTGTCTTGCTATGTCCTGGGGATGGGGGGAAAGAAGAGATAGAATCATACCTTTCGCAAGGGTATTTACATGTAAGTGAATGCAACAAACTCGATTGGAATTTGAACTCAACTCTCTGATTTCTCATTCCGAGCCATTATCAATTACACCACCTGCACATCCAAACTTACAGCATTTGGTATTCCCAAGTGGTCACCCATCCAGACACTGACCATGGTCAGCATTGTTTAACTTTGATGACTGGTCTTTCAACATGATATGGCCCTAAGCCATTACACACACTATTCATAGCAGAATTCAGACTATAAATTTCGTTATGTGGTTCACGAGATGGATTGTTCAATATAGCTGGCATTCATTTGCACCTGATTAATTAATAAATAGGTAGATATAAATCCAATTAACATAAAAGATAAACCTTGGTTGGGTTTATAACTGAGCTTAAAAGTATCCATTTGGTTCTTACCCCTCTGTAGGGAATGTGGTCAGCATATTCTAAGCTCTCATGATTAGGCAAAACTTTTTAAAAGGTTCTCTTGTTTAAATCCAAAATATCTGCAAAATTGCTATCGAAACCTTTCAGTAGGAGTAGCTAAGTCTGCCTTTTGTCCAGTTCACTCTTTCCGAGTCTTTTGAATAAGAGTAGAAGTTTATCCCTAGTTTCTGGTTTAAGATTGGGTTTTCCAGTCCTTTTTAAAGTTTTTTCATTCTTTTTTTCTTTCACTCCCAGTAGCCCCTTGCATCTTAGTGGCATTATCACCTTGCTTGGGGCAAACTGATTTAAAAAAAAAGAAAAAAATCTCTATAACGATTTTCAAAACTATTATTAAACACGAGTAGATCAAGGATGTGCAGCTAGCATAATGGCTATCAGCATGGAAAATGGAATTGGTGAATATGGTTCAAATTCTACCCTAGTCTGTTGCATTCACTTTTGCTATGAGACCCTTCTTCCAACTTCACCCCAGCTATGAGTTAAATAGAGTAGACTAAGGTTCTCTAGCCTTAGATTGGCAACCAATCTAGGAGAAGAATAATTCTGAATTCAGAAACTATGGACAAGCTAATGGAGAAACAACTCCACAATCTTTCCCAAGAAGTCATGGTAACTTGTAGATAATAAAGAAAAGAAATTTGTGGAAAGACACGATTGCCAATGTCTTGAAGGGACAAGACATTTAATAAAAAGGAAATTCAAGGCACAAATTCAGCAAATAAATCAACAAAGAAGACAAATCTCAACTGCAAATCACCTTATTTTAGAAATCCTATGTTATAAGTTAAGAAAGGCAGTTTAAAGAATTACATAAAATAGTTTTATTTTAAATACGTCCGTCCGTTCATCATGGTTCTCTAAAGATTCTTTTTCTTTATTATCTGGAAATTACTGTGACTTCTTGGGAAAGATAGTAGAGTGGTTTCCTGTTTCTTTCTCCATGGTTCTTAATTAAGAGTTACTGTTCCTGTAGACTGGTTGCCATCCAAGGCTAGAGAGTTCAGTTTAACCCATAGATAGTAAGGTAGGATAGGGAAGAGATGGATTCATGCTTTTCCCCAAAAGGTCTTGATGCAAAGTGAACAGGCTAGGCTGGAATTTGAAATCAACTTGTGAATTCCATTTTCTGCACCAATAACTATTATGCCACTCACACATGGGAAACAGACATCTTAGAAAATCACTTACAACTGTAGATTTTTAAGAGGACCCCACCAAAAAGAGGGTCAAGATCGTTATTTTTTTCTCTAAATCTTTGTCCAAAATTTAAAATTCAGAAAAAATTCCATTTTCTACGCTGAAAGTGAATCTATAATGTATAATAATTCATCTTTCAGTTCAATACATACATGATTCATCAATAACATTACTGAAAATGGAAACAGCAGCATTTTAGCTGCTACTGCCTGGATGGGTAAAATATAGGTGAGCGGCTTGCACAAACTTTTGTCATACATGATAACATATTCACAATACAGAAACAAGTAAATTCATGCCTTTCCAATGGTCATAAATACCTAGAATTCAGAGTATGTTGATTTTGATGCCGATGTCCCAAACCAGCCATACTATATATATATATATATACATATACACACACACACACAATATATATTCACACAACTGTAAAGGACTGAATACACAGAGTTGATACTGCCTATGTGTGTTCAAAGAGTCCAAAATACATATGCACATATATACATTTTGGCTACTATTGCCTGGACAGGTAAAATATAGGTGAGTGGTTTGCACAAACTTTTGTTATACATAACATATTCACAGTACAGGAATAAGTGGATTCATGCCTTTCCTATGGACATAAACAGAAGGAATTCAGACTATGTTGTTCTTGATGTCCCAAACCAGCCATACAAATCTATCTATCTATATACATATATATATGCACATACATACATACACACATAGCTGTGAAAGACTGAACACAGAGTTGATACTGCCTATGTGTGTTCAAAGAGTTCAAAATACATAAGCACACGCATATTTTATACATGTTTATAAGCAATGGACAGATAAGGTCTATTTCAAGAACAAAGAACAATTCTTAAGAGAAAGTAGAAGATGGGCAGAAATTCACCTTGTTTGCTGCCCTGCCCTTTTACCCAATTATCTTCAATAATCAAGCAAAGGCATTAAATGTCAAGTTGTTTGCTTTATTTTATCCTAACCATTTGTCTGTAAGGGAAGACAATATTGCTGTTATCTTTCTCAATCTGCACTCACATTATTCAATGTTCCCATTTATAGGACATTTTCATTCACTTAGAAAAACAACCATAAACTATAGAGCACAGATAGCAAGAATTTTTAAAAGAAGTCTGAAGTATAAATATCTAATATCTAAGATGTAAAGAAAGATTACTGAAGGTCCAGCTTGTCTACTCTCATGAGGATATTACCACCTAGTCAGACACAAGACTACAAAAAAGAAGCACCTTAACAAAATTAGTTTGTTAACTATTGCACCATACCAGGTAGGTTTATTGATCCAGTGTATGGGCAATTCACAAAATTTCATTAAACAGAATCGAACTCTGAGTTATCTTCCCTTTTTCACTTCGTTCTATGAATTAACGGTTTTACCTAATGGGCATTAGAAGTTTTAATTCTATTTAACTGACTATGGAAGAAAGAAAATTTTATTGGTTTCTTTTCTAACTGACCAATGTGCTAGTAGCATGACAGTATCAGGATACAAACTCAGACCATGTGAATAACAGGCTTATGCAGCATCACCAAATTGAACTTGTACGTGTACTAAGAAATGAAGCATTTTAAATTGGGGAAAAAATACATAATTTGAAATTTGGTATCTGCTTAACTCATTTCATTTAAGAAAATATTGCACACAAAGTGTAACAAGGCAAAACTTATAAAAATGCTGTGGCCCTCAAAACTTGCTTATGTATAAATAGGCTTATCAGTACAAATAGATATTGATAAAAACTGATTAATAATACAAAAAGGAATAGGTCATTCATAAAGTCCTTGGGCATCTTGGCCATTTCTCTTTGATGGCAACCTTGAGGGTATTGATGTTGTGGTAGGAGGTTTTGTTGGTAGCTTGTTCCAAAAATGACCCATAGTGTTGTTTAGCAGCTTCAGGCTGTATATGGCCAGAAATCTGCTGGCTAGAAATCAGTAAAGTTAGTATTACGGAACTTCAGCACCTCCTTGGCTGGGTGTGCACACATTTGTCCTTGAGCCATGGCAAAACATAGTCCCTCAAAGTAATGTTGTAGGCATTAGCACCCACATTTTTTTCTAAGCTTGTAGAAGGATGGCAGGGTAGAGGGCATTTCTTTTTTTTTAGTCAGAGGCCATAACACTCAAAGCCATGCCCAGGCAGAATGTTTGGTCTTGAGGGTGCCCTTGACATAAGATGTTGACACTGTAAAGTACTGTAAAGTATTTTGGTGGCTCAAAACACCAAAGATTTTCTCAGAGTTTATTTTGACAATGGACTGATGATTTTTGAGGTGACTGAGCACTTTCTCACACATTTCCAACATTCTAGCTTTTATGGAGTCTGTGAGGAAAAGTTTTGGCATCCTGGTGTATGAATTAAGTTCCAGGCGACTATGCACTTCTGTTCAGATTGTCTTGGGGCCCACTTTTAGCTCAGCAGATATTTAGCAATGCTATTGGGATCTTTTCAATTTTGATCTTGAGGGCAATAATGAAATTAATAATAAATTAATGATTCCATATCTTGTTGACCCTCCTTTGGATACCTTTGCCCAAAGTGCAAGAAGACACCAACTATGTTATGATTGATTCATTCATTTTTGTACAGTTTATCAACCATTTTCAGGTTATTTAAAGCCAGAAACTATTTTCAAATTGTAAGAATTTTTTTGAAGATAATAATGATTTAGTGATATAAGTATACTAATTAACCCTAGGGGATTAGAGGTGGATTCATACCTTTCCCAATGGTATTTGCATGTAAGTGAATATAATGAATCCAGTTAACAATTCAATTACACCACCAGTACATTCAAGCTTACAACACCTGGTATTTCCAAGCAGTTACCCATCTAAGTACTGACCAGGCTCCATGTTGCTTAACTTCAGTGATCATACAGGAAGTAGTGTTTCAATATGTTATGGCAGTAAGCCACTATGTTAAAAATGCTTTTAGGGCCAATTTGTGCACAAAGCAATTCTGACACTGTTTACCATTTTCCATATTCCTGAAAAATAGGCGTTTATTAATAGATCACAGTATATTCTTTGTTCACCATTTGGTGTCATGGTTGTTGGGAAATTTTAATTTAAATTTTACAACTATTTTGCTTCCCCATCTTGTATATAACAATACTAGACTCCTGTCAGTTCTCAGCTTTTCTCTGAAATCCAAAAAACAATCTTTGTTTTGTTGTTAGGCTATCAGATTCATACAAACATTTTATTCTGGAAACATTTTCCTTCTTCAAAATGAGATATTTTGGTTCATTACACTTCAGCTGCTTTGTAGATTTAAGATTAACTTTCATAGGAACATAACAGCTAAATAGTTTTCTTTGATAAATTTATAAAATAATGTTTAAACACCATGCCATATTGAATATGTCAAAATATAATAAAATATATTAGGAATTATTTACCTATCTTTATCTATTTGTACTTATCAAAATGTTGTACTAACATTTATTAGATTAGTTGATTTGTGTTCAGTTAAAATATACAAAAATATCTCCCAAACATGTCTTACAGCAGATGTCCTTTCAGTCATACTGAAATATGTTTGGGCGATCATGTCCCTTTTGATTCATGACTGATTAGGTAGTAAGTTACCATTTCTTTCTGTGGTAGACTAGTTGCCAACCAGAACTATAGAACCCAATCTGTCCTCCTATTAAACCCATAACTGGGGTGGGAAGAGAGAGAAGAGATGAATTCGTACCTTTCCCAAACATATTTTGCATGTAAGTGAAGGCATCAAACCCTACTGGAATTCAAATTTGGTTCTGTCCTTTACTATAGTTAAAAATATTTTTTTCTTTTTTAAAGATACTTCCAGGCAATCATTTATTACTTGTGCTTTGGGAGAAAAGTTCAAAGAACAATGCCAAAACCTTCTCTCATGCACTTTGTCTAACTAAAGTACCAAAAAGACATGTCACTGATTATGAAGTCAAATTATAGTTGATACTCTCTTCACCATGACAAATGGTGAACTTAAAAATAAATCTCCTTAAAAAACATTTAAGACAATAAAAGATAAAGCTCTCTCAAGCAACAGCTAAAATAATAAAAATCTACTGTCTCATTATCAATCAACTAGCAGTAGAGCCCGGTGTTGCCCGGGGATGTAACAGTAAGAGATAGATCAAGTATCAACCATCATAAAGACTGAAAAATAAAATTGACAAAGGTTATTGTTTAAGGTTGACGAACACATGTCTTAATTATTTTTTTTTTGTTTTTGTTTTTTGTTTGTTTTTTTTTTGGTCAAACCCAAACTCAAACAAAAACATTGTTTTCAATCGTTATGAGTCTACTGATTGAATAGAATTTTATTATAAATAATTGTCTTGTAAATGGAATTTTTAAAGCATTCTGAATGTAAAAATAAAGAAAAAAGTGTGCAAGACAATAAGAAACACTACCTGCCAAAAAAAAAAAAGTGAAGTTTTGTTGAAATCGGTTGAAAAATGTAGGAAATCCGATCCAATATATAAACGAACACACACACAACCTGGGTTTTATAATAAGTAAAATGGTATTTCATAGACAGGTGCATGTGAGCGCAAGCACATTCACAGAGATGAGTGCATGGCTGCATATACAAAGGCAGAGAATACAGAAGAAAACTTATACCAGTCAGTGTTAAATATGCATTTAAAAAAAAAAAAAAAAAAAAAAAAAAAAGCAGTAAATTGCTGATAATCCCTGAAGAGTAAACAGACAGATCCATCTACAAAACTCTGGAATTGGGATGCTGAAGGTAACATCAATCAGCTAAATGACAAACATTTACTTATCTCTCTCTCTCTCTATATATATATATATATATATATATATAAACTGCATCTAGAGATTATATGCAAAAGAGGTATTGTCAAATATTATATGTAAAATTCATAGATATGTGTTATCCAATTAAATAATTTGTACTATTATGTATAGCGAGTAAGCATGAGAGCAATTAAGTCCCAATTTTCAATTTCAGATTGATATTTAGTATTTTTTCAGTAATTATAGCAATTTACAGTGTCAAGAGATTATTTGCAAGAACTAGAATTTAGTATTATGGCTCATAAAAAAGAACTAACAATGAATGAAAAAAAACTATATAATCAAAGAAATTAGCAAAGGAAAGTCTTCGCTTCAAATTTCTAAGGATTTGAAAAGGGATCATCGGACAATCAAGAAAATATGTCAAATGGGAATTCAACCAAGGAAAAAAAAGTCTCAGGCTGAATTCAGGAATTTAACAAAGCGAGATCTATCACATATCCGAAGAGAATTAATAAGAAACCCAAATGCGTCAAGTGCATTCATATTTGAGGCCAATGGAGCTCCTATGGTGTCAAGGGAAACAAGGTATAAAGCATTACAGAAGTTTGCTGATGTAAAAAAAATCAAATAAAGAAACCCATTTTAACAAAAAAAACATAAGGAAAGAAGATTGCAGTGGGCAAAAAATACATGAAAACTGATTTCAGTAAAGTGCGTTTTACAGACGAATCAAGGATCACCCTCGATGGGCCCAATGGATGGGTTTGCAAGCAACATGACTCAAGAAAATTTTTTAAACGCCAACAAGGCGGCGGTGGGATCATGATATGGGCTGGAATTATTGGTAATGAGCTCGTGGGTCCATTTAAACTGAAAGACGGGGTTAAAATGAATTCCAAAAGTTACTGTGATTTTCTAGAGCAATATTTCTTTGAATGGCTTGATAACCAGTCTTTAGCCAAGTGTAGATCTATGATCTTTATGCAAGACAACACGCCAAGTCATGCATCAAAGTTTACTAAAACCTGGTTGAAAGAAAAGTGATTTTGTTGAAGAGTCTCTTATGGACTGGCCTTCAAAAAGCTGTGACTTGAATCCCATTCAGAACCTGTGGAGCATCCTTAAGAGAGATATTTATTCTAACGGAAAACAATTTAACAGCAAGTGTGACCTCTGGGATGCAGTTAAAGTTGCTACAAACAACTTACCAGCCGCTAAAATTGCAAATCTAACATCAGATGTTGACAATAGGCTGCTAAGAGCTATTGAAAAGAAAGGAGAATTTGTGCAATCAATTTTAGGAGGTTCTTATTATTTTTTGTTAATATATCTTTTATTTTTAAAATAAAATTTTTTTTTTATGTTTTTCCTTTAAGAAATTGACGAATTTGTTATAAAATCTTTTCATATTTTTTTACATTAGTTTTACAAGGTATAATAATGTAAAATTATCAAAATAAATAGTTGCAAATAAACTACTGACAGTCAAATTAGCCTGTTTTGTTAACTTAGTAAAATTTTTTCCAACCAAAAACAATAGTTTTCTCTATCACTATATATCTAAGTTAATAATATTGAGTAGAATCTCAACAACATCAGAATAGGACTTTTAACATTAAAGACGCAACTCTTTATACCAATTCATAACTTGCATATAATCTCTAGACGCAGTTTATATATATATATATATATATATATATATATATACACACACAGGGTGCAGGAGAAATATATCCCACATTATTCTAAGACACTAGTGGCAGTGGTGTCTTCATCTAGCTTAATGTCTTACTGTGGGAGATATTTCTGCAGTAAACCTGATTCTAAAGAGAAGTGCCAGTCCATACACAAATAATACCATCATTTATTAAGGATAGTCTCAGATATTTTACAGTAAGTTATTTTAGAAATACTAAACATGAATAAAAATGAAAGTTAACACCCATAATAATTGTCATTAGTTCTTCTGAATAAAACCAGGCATTTTTTTTTAAAGTGTCTCCAATTTATTTTATTTGATAAATGAGTGAGTAGTGTAATATCTATAGTCACAAAAAATGAAATCAACAGAAAGAATTCACTCATTAGCAAAGACTATTGTGTTCACTTCATACTAATACTATTAGGAAAAGTATAAATTCATTACTTCTCCCAGCTTTGGGTAAAATAATAGCACATGACTGGGTTTTCTAGCCTTGATAAGAGAACCAATCTAGGGGAATACCAGTTCTAAATTCAAAACCATGAAGAAGGCAATGGAAAAAAAAAAAAAAAATATCACTACCTAAGTTTGTTACAACTCAACTCAAATAACAGGCAAAGACAATTCAAACAAATTTTTGTAGTTTTCAAAAAGAATATGGCAACTGGATTTTACTTTTTATCACATTTAAGGAACTGTGTGTGGGGTGATCTACAATCAATAGCAACATTCACAACAACGTTATCCAGATTTACATAAGAAAATAGCTCTTTCAAAGGCATTCTCTATCAATGTTAAAGAAAATAAATTAACATATGACAAATACCATCTTTATATTCATTTAGATCAGTGGATCCCCAAATACATGATCACATCTCAAATAAGGGTAAAAAGGATTTTCCAGGGGCATTCAAGAATGGTTAATGAAAGAAAAATAAAAGAAACAATATTAAAATCAAAAAATAATACAAATCTATTTACATCACAATTTTGGAATATAAATTATCACTGAGAATCTAAAACAGGAAAATATTTGTGAACTAGCTTAGAAGCCACCTTATTGGGCAACACTTAAGCTAGCACCTGCAGAGGGCTCTTGATTGAACCTTCAGCCCAATAATGACACTTCCTGCATTGAGTACATATTAAATTTTATTAAACATGAACAATATTTTTCAAACAAGTTTTCATCAAAACAATGATATAATTTGTCTATTTGGAACTTATTGCAAAGCTTTAACCCATTCAGGGTTAGTACAAATAGCTTGTTTCCATTAAAAATGTGACAGATATTTTCTTATTTATTATACAGAAGATGAGATATTTAAGTTAGAGAGTTGTGTCCCTTTAAAAAGTGTGACAGACATTTTTGCATTTATTATATGGATAATAAAGCCTCAAAATCAATTTCTAGGTTTGCTGCTAGAAAAGTTGGTTTGTGCCAGA